GACAGCGGCGGCTGCTGGCACTGCATGTCATGCACTAGGGTGGAGGGACACAGGGACAGGGGGGACATGGGGACAGCGACGTCCCCTGTCACTGCATGACACGCACTAGGGTGGCGGGGATGGGGACATGGGGACACTGCAGCCACCGCAGCCACCGGGGCCACCGCAGGCACCAGAGCCACCACTGCAGCCACCGGGGCCACCGCGGCCACTGTGTCCCCTACAGCCACTGTGTCTCCCACGGCCACGGTGTCCCCTGCAGCCGCTGCGGCCACCGTGTCCCTTGTGGCCACTGTGTCCCCTCCGACACTGTGTCTCCTGTGGCCACCGTGTCCCTGGCACCCCGTGTGTCCCCTACAGTCACTGTGTCCCTGCAGCCACCATGACCCCTACAGCCAATGTGACCCCCGTGGCCACCGTGTCCCCTCGCGGCCACCGTGTCCCTCGAGCTGCCACTGCCCTGATGGCAGGGCTGAGGTGCAATAAAGAGCGAGCACAAAGTGACGGTGTCACCTGGTTGGGGACACGGGGGGAGCTGCGACAAGGGGGGACATTGGGGACATGGGAGCTGTGATAAGGGAGGGCACTGCGGGGACGTGGGGGGACTTGGGGAGCAGCTGTGATGAGGGGGGACATTGGGGACACGGGGGGCTGAAACAAGGGGGGACATTGGGGACAGGAACACTGGGGACAGAAGGGACATGGGGACAGCAACTGAAACACGAGGGGGACATTGAGGGACACTGGGGACACAGCAGAGCGGAGACACCAGGGGGACAGGGAAACGGAGGGGGACAATGTCCCGAGGGGGACACTGGGGACAAGGGAACGGGAACTGAAACATGTGGGGACATTGGGGACACTGGGGACAAGGAAACTGGCACAAGAGGGACGTGGGGACAGGGGCACTGAAGCACGAGGGGGACAAGGGGGCAGGGGACACAGGGACAGGAGCACCAGGGGACACCGGTGACGTCCGTGACATCAGTGCCACGGAGGCACGAAGGGGACAAGGACACGGGGACAACGCGGGTGACACGAGGACAGCGGAAACAGAGACACCGGTTAACAAAGGAGCCACTAACGACGCCGGGGGGCCACGGGTCCCTGTCCCCCCCAAAAGGACGAAGCAGCCACAACCTGTGCCCCCAGTGGCCTTTATTGGGGGGGAGCCACCGTGTCCCCCCCGCGCGTGTCCCCAAAGACCGAAAAACGGTGAAAAACACAGGGAAAAAAGGAAAAAGAGTGAAAAAACCCCACCTGGGTGGGAGTAAATACCCAGGTGGGGGGTAAATACCCAGGCAGGGGTAAATCCCCGGGTGCGGGGGTGAATCCCCAGGTCGGGGGTAAATCCCCGCTACTGGTTGGCGGCCTCGCAGGCGTCGATCCAGTCGCTATAAACGTCCACGGGCTCCGAGAGGTCTGGGGGGTCAAGGAGGACACGGGGACAGGGACGGCCCCCCTGCCACGCGGGGACATTGTCACCACGTGGGACCATTGTCACCGCCTGGGGCCACTGTCACCTCGTGGGGTCACCACCGCCGCGCAGGGTCCTTGTCACCGCGCACGGGTCACCCGCACCATGGGGTGTCACCAGCATCATGCGGGTGTCGCTGTCACCGTGTGGGTGTCCCCACCTCCCTGCGGGTGCCACCGCGCAGGTGTCACTGTCACCATGCAGGTGTCAGCAGCACCATGCGGGTGTCGCTGTCACCGCGCAGGCAGCGGTGTCACCACGCGGGTGGCAAAGTCACTGTCCCCCCATGCAAGTGTCATTGTCACTAGGTGGGTGTCCCCACCCCTGTCCCCATCTCCTGTACGTGCCCCATCACCCACTCACCCACGTGTCCTCTCCCCCAGGTGTGCCCCCATCCCCCGTGTGTCCCCGTCCCCAGACATGTCCCCACGTGTCCCCGCGTGTCCCCGTGTGTCCCCAAGGATACAGGTGATGGGCGTCTGGAACTCCTCCAGGCACACGGTGCACGCGATGACACCCGTGTTCCGCGCACGGTCCCTGCGGGGACACCGGGGGGCAGCTGACACCCTGCCGTCCCCAAGGACCCCGCTGTCCCCAACATCCCCCTGCTGCCCCCAACGCCCCCCTGC